GAGAGAGAGAGAGAGAAACTTTAGTTAATTTTGGTCATGTATTTTTAAAATCTCTATTTTAGCCCTGTTTAACTTTGGTTTATTTTAGTATATATACTTTTTAAAGATCTATTTTGGTCTCTGTATTTTTAAAAAGTGATTATTTTGATCTATTTATTTTCACCATTATTTCATTTCTTTTGATCATAATTTTAGCATGATACTTCGTTCATAAAATTTCATGAAATGTAGTCATAAATTTATATTCAAATGCAAATATTGTGTATAAAAGTTGAATTAAAATTTTGTAAATAAAGATCAAAAGTGTCACCTTTTTAAAATACAGAGACTAAAATAGATTTTTTGAAATTAACTTAACTAAAATAAATAGAAATAAAAAGCATATACATGCACACATTTTAAAAATTCATAAATTAAAATAAAACTAAAATAAGAGTAAATAGAACGAAATAGTATTTAATTTAGAGGGAAAATATTTTGAAGTGCCTTGTGGGAGTGTAAAGACATTATTTTATGTTTTATGGGACCCCTAAAAGAAATAAATCCAAAACTAAATGTCAACTACAATAATATATATATAAATCATATGCATCTATGCTTTTCCACACCTTTGCATGTTTATCCAAACACGTTCACTCCTGCATATGTTTTCTTAAATAATGTCCAAAATAATTACAAATTTTATAATATGCTTACTTGAAACTTGTTAATTACATAGTTTTCGATCGAATATGTATGGCAGCAACTGCTGATTCGCTAAATGAGATAATGGTGTTTAATTTGTAACTTTAAATCAACCATTTCAAGTTTTTTTCTTTTTAATAAATCAATAATTTCCGTTGTATTAAAAAAAAATTAATGATTTTTTTTAGTACACATGTGGAGTGAAATTTCTAATCTCATTATCTCTCGGTCATAAATAGGTATCGTAACTAGTTGAACTACATCCAAATTGGCAAAAAGAAATCAATAATTTAATAACCGTTCATTCTTTAGAATTGAAAATGACTAAGATGAGTTGAGCTGAAAAATCATATAATTTCTTGCTCTATTTTTTTTTGTGATATTCGTGAGTTTTTGGGCCTGCACACTTCGACTAATCTCATGGAACAACTGTCTGACATTCATTTGGTTGCTAACAAAGCTTGTATGATATTAAATGTTAGGTAGGTGGCAACTAGGTCTTGGCAATCTTTTTTTTTTTTTGAATCTCCTTAAATAAAACAAAAAAAGTTTATTACCAGATTTTTTATTTTCTAATCTTTTCCTTGGAAAGTAGTCTTTAGCCGGATAAGATTTCAAAAAGGAGTGTTGAAGAGTAGAAAACAAAACAAAACAAATTGTTTAGTAGATAATCTTATTTTTATAGATAGAAATCTAGAACCAATACTATACTTTTATATAAATTAGAAGAGAAAAAAATTCAATACACCCACCAAAATATATAAACTACTAATTTTTTAAAAGTTTAATAATTGCAGGTGAGAAAAAATTCAACCAGATACCTTTAAGACAGTAATAAGTGTCCAATGATTAGAGTTAGGCACGAATTGACATGTAAATTTGCTAGGTAAAGGAGTATTTTTTTTTTACTACATTAAGAAGCATAAGAAAATTAAATAAATGGGATATAAAGTAGTCTAACACGTTAATTGTTTTGAATATATTATAAAGTTTAGTACCTGCGATTGTGTAAATTGTTGAGGAATGCTTGAGTTGGATAAAGATGTGTTTTATGGTTGAGAGGGAAAAGGAAATGTCGTTGGTTTGGAGAATTAGTGTTAATGATGGTGGGGTAGCAAATATAATGTAATTCTGCTAAGTATGTGGTTTGAAAATTAGGCACTCCAAATGATATCTCTTTATTAAAAAATTATAATGGAAAAAAGTAAATAAAGGTAGAGGCTAAAATTTCACCAATGCTGCCGACTGTCCCTCCCAAGTTGTCCACTTCTGGATTTTTCCCAAAATTTATTATTTCATTGGCCCCTTTTCTGGCCTTCATTAAATTTCACTTTTCGGAAGAATATTCAATCTTTGCCAACAAAACAACGATTCTAACTTCATAATCTCAATTATAGTTGAATTAATCCACACAAATATCTCCCATTTTTATGGGGTTAAAATTTTTAAACTTATTCATTTTGATCTCTAGTTTTTAAAACATGCCTTTTGATTTTTTAACTTTAAAAAATAATTCTTTTGACTATTTTTATTATTTCATCAAACACAATATGATTCTAGTTATATAAATTAATTTGTTGAAGCCATCTAATTTAGTGGAGGACAAATATTAAATATAAATATCAAAATAATTATTTGATACAAAAACTAATGACTAAAATAAAACAAATCTTAAAATTGAACCTCCAAAACTTAACAAATCCAAAATCCAACCTTAATAAAGTATGAGAAAACGGCAGTTAGTCTCTCCAACAACAGTCATCTTCTTCTCCTTTGTCTTTCTCTTTGGTACATCTTAAATTTTTGAAAATCTACCATAACTATTTTAAAGAGGGTGTAAACTTTTCGCATTTTCGCAGCCCCTCAAATTCCTATTGATCCACATTTGTATTTTTCAAGTGGGCAATTATCCCCCCTACCGGCCACAATCGTGTCATTTGCCCCTCAATCAAACCACCCAACTCTACTTTCAAAATAATTTTTTTCTTTTCCATTATTTATTTTGGAGGGCATCAAATTTTATTTTACTCCTAATTGTTTAATTGAATGTCGTAAGATCGCATAACATAACCAAAACCAAGTGTAATTTTTGTTTTCAACAACAAACACTGAAAAATAGATACCGAATCTTATCATGGTTGCTGTCCACATGAACTTAGCTAAGCAGTAATTGATACATATCTATGATTAAGAAGTCATGAATTTGAATCTTTCGATCCAACTTGTTGTACTTCAAAAAATATCAATGTTGTTCACACGTGTAGGGAGGTATGCAGTATGATATTAAATCCAAATTCAATGTTTAATATATTTTTTTTTTTTTGACTTCAATTAGGAATTGAATGAGTAGACATTCGCCATCTCATTTTCCACTCCCTAATTGCTATTACTTGCTTCAGTAATGATTTTAGACGGTGAATTAAACATTTATTAATTATCATATCCATGCCATATCATAGAGTTTTGAAAAGTCAAAATGTTTAATCAAACCGACCGTCCCCTTTCCATTAGTTATTGCCAAACAAGTGCTTACGCGTAACACGTCGTGGGTTAGGCGCCCGAATTCAGATTATTAAGTGTAACATTCTATTACCAAAATTAATTAAATTTAAGCCCCCACTAAATAAATATTGAATCCTCTTTCTTGTCCCAAACCCAATCTTCTAGTTCTAATTAAACCACACCAACCTGCTTTCCTCGAACTCATGCCTTCACCTTTTTTTTTTCTTTTTCAAATTTATTCATTTTCTACAACGTGCCTAAAAAAATGACTTGGAGATTAAATAGCAATTATTTATCGCACCTTGAATATTCTAACCCACAAATTAACCGCATGCCACTTTGATTTATTTATTTCTTTTAATTATAAATTTGATACTGATTCTGTCTATTTTAAAGTTTTTTTGATACATCTTTAAATTTTTAACCATGTATCTTTGTTTGATCCTAGATTAAGACCGTAAAGTTTGAATGAACAAGTGCATGAGCGAACGAGATTTACAAAATAGAGTAAACACTCCGATGCTCCAGCAGTATTTATCTTATTTATAGTCGAGAGAATATGATTTTATATTGTTCGAAAAAAAATTTAATTGAATTCAATGAACTTGTATTTATACTCAATTTATAGTTTGAGTTTCCCGATAAATCGATTGCATAAAAACTTGAAAGTTATAAATAGATATCCCCATGAATTTAAAAAATTCATTATAAAATTTTAAATTATTTAAAAAATTAAATAGACAAGTAATGAATAATATTTATTATAATGATCAAAACGAGAATAACTCAGCAGGAATTGACATATATTTCTAACGCTCTGAGTTCGATCACCCACCTACCTTATTAAAAAAACATATTTATCATAATGAATTTAGTTTTTTTTTTTATAAATTGATTGCGTGGACGGAAAGTTTTTTGGGCGGACGCAGAGTCCACCGCCACCGACTTTTCTCTCAGCTGCTTGGCTCCTACGCTCTCGCATCATCATCCACTTGTCCACCATCCAAGCTTCCCATATTAGACGTCATCCTCCCAATTTCTTAAATACATATATTTTTATTTTCCTTTTCTGTTATTTCAGTTTGGCCAAAAAAGAAAAATAAACATCACATCGCTGGAAATTTAATTTAGGTGTGCGAATCCACGTCGACTCCTCCATGCCCACAAAAACGCTACGTGGATTCATATTTCGGTACTTGTCTCCCCTCCCCGCCGTTCGGTGAATGTTACTTCCCACCATAAATATTATTATATTTATACAATTTTTTCAATTCGGATCATCTAACCTTAACCTTTCAAATCAACTTCACCAATTTCAGTAAATACCATAACGAAATTATATTTATAAATTAGCTGTATTTCTATATTTTATAACTTTATTTTCTTCGGCCCTTTTTTTTAATGTAATTAAGTAAGTAAAGAGTAATTAGATTACGGCGATTGATGATAAGCATTAACAAGAGAAATTAACCGCGCACACACAGGACAAAAGATTATAGATAGATAAATATAAATTAAAGGAGGCGTAAGACTAAGAGAAAAAAAAAAAAGAGAGGGATGTTTATGACCGGTGATAAAATATGTCGGCCAAAGTTGGATTTGTCTTGAAGGAAGATCAACGTGGCGGCCGTGCCAATTCGACAGAGAAGCAGCCAAGTAGGAAACAATTTCGGCCCCTCTTTTTTATCTAATTCTCTTCTCTCTTTGTATTCTTTCTTTCTTACTTATATATATATATTTTATTTCCGACCCATGTATTTAAAGTACATATCCATTGCAGCGCCACCATATTTTTTGTTCAAACTGCTGGGTTTTGGATTTTAAATACCCAAGTTCAGGGAATCAGAGAAAGAAAGCGAAAACCCAATTTTTGGGGTTTTATTGGGTCGGAGTTTTCATACTCTTCCGTGCGTCGAGGGGCGTTAATTATCTCTCTCATGGGGTTTTGGTCTCGATTAGTTTGAATTGTGAGAAATTAGAAATCAGAAGGGGTATTTTGATCGAGTTATTGTTTTGTTTTTGTTGTTGAGATCGATGGAAGGAGAAGTGTGCTCGGCTGTAAGTTCTTGTGGAACGGGGTCAGAGAAGCGGAAGCAAAGGCATCACGAGAGTAATCTACAGCAAGAAAAGCCGTACAGAGGGATAAGGATGAGGAAGTGGGGGAAGTGGGTGGCCGAAATCAGAGAACCAAACAAGCGCTCCAGGATTTGGCTTGGCTCCTACACAACCCCCGTCGCAGCCGCCCGCGCCTACGACACCGCCGTCTTCTACCTCCGAGGCCCCACCGCCCGCCTCAACTTCCCGGAGTTGATGTTCGAAGAGGATCAGCTTCACGACATGTCGGCCGCCTCCATACGCAAACGAGCCACCGAAGTCGGTGCTAGGGTTGACGCCATCCACATCTCTCACCTCCACGCCAGCTCAAACTCCAACTCCAATTCCTCCAATTCCGTGAAGCCTGATTTGAACGAGTATCCCAACCCCGAAACCTCAGATGACGATTAACCACACACCTCTACCAACAGGGAATCGTCACATATATATCCCCTTACTTCATATTTCTACAAAATTATGAAAAGGGTGCGGAGGGAACAAGGTATCCCAACAACAAAAAAGGAGAGAAGCACCATGAAAAAACGGAATCAAAATGATTCCGTTCCATCGGTTATATAGTTGTTCGATTGTAACCCCGAAAACGGTTTATAGAAATGGTTGATCTCGACTAGTTTTGGATTTCCCTTGTTGTTTAATTTTGTTGTTAGTCATAACTAATTTTAATGAAGCAATTTTGTTTGCGTTTTACTTCTTACGGGAAGGAGAGTGAAGAAAACCTGCAGCAACGGCCGTGTGGCTGAGTGGCTCCGGTATATGATTGAGAGAAATTTGAGATAAGGATATGACCAAAAAAGGAACAAAAAAAAAAAAAGAGTTGGGGACAACAACTGGTGCACATGACATGCTTTGTGGAGTCCACGATGAAAATAAAAGGGCAATATTATGTGAGAATGCGATAGTGGGCGTGGCCCCTCATATTAGGTTTAAAATTGTCACTTATAGTTGAAGCCTTTCACGGCCGGAGTGTTTTTGTTTTTATTTTCTCGTCCCTGGGAGACGGCGGACGACACCCACTTGCCGTATAAATTCAAATTCCATTTTCTATTCCCCTCCTCAGTCAATTAATGTATGTTGGTTTTAGCCTTAATTCTCCATCGGTATTTATCACCAGTAACCAGTAACTGGTAAAGTAAGCAAGTGATCATATATAGTATATATATCCACACGGGGATACCGATATCCGACTCTTGGTCTTTCACTTTTTTATTTATTTTTTCAAAACTTTTGACTTCTCCCCGGCCGCCCATCTCCTTTTAAATTGCTGCTGTGCGGATGTGGGTCGACACTGAAACTGGAACTTCATTAATTTAGTATGTTATAATAGAGAGTTATAGAACAGCGATTTTCATGGATCTTCCACTAGTTATTTTCAAGGTTGTTGCTCCTAAATCTTCCGTATTTATTTATCTTCTTCTGGCCGGCCTTTGGCTTGGCTTCCCATATGCATGCCAATAAATTATAATATAATGTTATAACCGGTGGATATAAATATCGGATAATTTAAGGACGGTAGATGAAGCTTTTAATTAATAATAATGTAGCAAACAGCAGTTTCCATAATTATCCAAATCCCATCACTAGATTTGCTTTAAGGGGAGGTCGGTGCACTCAACACCACCGCTAATCTAACGTTAACATGAGATTAATTAATGTCTATGACAAGCTTTTTTTTTTTAAAGAAGGTGGTGGAAATGAATTCCAAAATATGTGATTCAGAATTCAGATTAATTAAGAGCTCCAACTTTGACACAGAATCATAGTAGAGTAGAATACATCTCTGGAACTGGAAAGTCCCCTTTGGCCTTGTTTATTCAATAATCCCTCCCTAATAAATAACAGAAAATAATGTTGTTTATTATCAATTTCAACATAAGTTCAATTGATTTGTACAATTAACTTTCATGTTTAAGAAAAAATGTGATTAGCTCCTTTTTTTATTCGATCAATTAACCTCTACTTTAATATAACAATTCAAATATGAATGGAAGAAATTCTTTTTTCTTTTTTATGTTCTTATTTAAGTTGGAAATCAATTAGCTTTATAACATTATTACAAAGTAAAAAAAAAGGTCAAATTTGTCGTAATTTGAATGTTTAAGATTTTATAATTTTCTTTTCATTTACGCCTCTCAAAGTTTTTAATTTTACTGTTTCTTAAGAATTTTTTTTGAAGCGTCTGGGTCAATTTTAACATTTTACGAAAGTTTTTCGTTCAATTCAAAATTCAGTAGCTTTGGATACGTTTGAAGAGTTTTTATCGGGAGTATTAAATTTTCGTTGACATACCGACATTTGCATATTTTTCCGAATTAAAAAATAATGAGTAAATTGACATTTTCATAGTATTTAAAAAAATGACAATAAAATTTCAATGAAATTGAAACTTCTATATTTACGTATTTATGACGTTGTTTTTTGTTAAATAAACCAAGATTTTAAATGTCAATTAGATAAAAATGTCGATATCTTAATTTTATATAAATATTAATGTCTAAGTCTATGAATATTTCTATAGCAGCAAGAGAAATTAAAAAATTGTAAAAAATTATTTAAATTATTTTATATAAATTAAAAATGATTAATATATATGTATTAGTTGTTTAATATTTTTCGTATTGTTTTTAGATGCGACAGAAATATGGATGTCGGAGTCCATAAATGCTGGAATTTCAATTGTAAAAGTCGACACGTCCATGATACCACGCGTACAAGTATAACGCCGCATACCAAATTGTAATGAGACTGGGTGGTGACTCACCGTCATCGAGCTGTCACTTTCGTACCGAACCGTCTCCCAATACGAAGAGGGTTTTGTTGAGATATCATTAAGCAACGTGTCAGGCAGTTATTTCCAACACAACTCCGTCCCCACCGCTACAATTCTTTCTGCTAATATAATCTCACAAATTCAATAATTCCAAGCCCACTGTCAATTTTTATAATGCTTCCTCATCGATGCCTCCAAAGAAGAGCAAAATAGATCAAATGAGACAAAACTGATTTATATGATTTCTAACTCCGTACGAAGGATATTATTATATGGAAATAATAAAAATTACATGAATGTTAGAAGCAGAGGGCGGGGATATGATGATGTGGTGGGCTTGTAAACAAAAAAAAAGAGGATGGTCGGCAAAATAGTAATTGAGAATTTAGGAGGGAAACCAAATAAAAAAACCAGAACACAGCAGAAAAGTGCTTATAACAATAATTGGTAGGTGTAGAGAGGCGTAAGGGAAGCGGACACCATCGGGAGAGAGAGCGTGCAGATGAATAGTGGGAGTTGGGTATGTATTGGTGGGCTGGAAAAGGGTAAAAGGAGGCCCATTAGTGGCCCACTTGGAAGTGGGCCGAAGAGGGGGAAAATTACTGAACTTAACTGACATAGTGACGTGTACAAAATTGAATTKATTGTGGCGATCGAGATTCGGTAGTGGGCGTTGCAATTAATTAATTGTGCACCCACTTTGGCTTTTATCTTTCCAGTTTCAGTTTCCAGTACCCACCGGCCACCACACCACATTGGCCATCTCTTTCTTCCATTTTTCAACACAACATTACCTAACAGAGAGAGAAGAAAAAGAAAAAGGGGAATAGACCAGACCATCAATCAAAGCTGCTCTTCTTCAGTCCATGCCTCCTGAGACTGTTACAGCTCAACCATATGCTTCAAAATATATTTAAGTTTAACTATACCATTTCTTTGAATTGGCTATTTTTAATACAAGTTTTTTTACTCACCTAACTATGATTACAGTTTTAATTGCTCAAACTCTAATGCAATATAATAAAAACTAAAAAGGTTACATTTTTGTTTTCAATTCAAGTTGTCATCTTTTTTAAAATACATGTTAAATTTATGCCACGAAGTGAAATTTCTCTACTTTTTATAGTATAAAAGTTATAATTAACTCTAATGTTAGAGTGATGGAAATTTATCTCACGAAATGAAGATGAGAAAAAAAAATTATAGGATGTTACGAGAGAGTGTCGTATAAATGATATATATAAAGTAATTCTTTAACCTAAGAAATTAAAAAGAATGCAACTTCGATATTTATCCACCGATCACTCACATGTTAATAGTTAATAATTAATGACGACCAAGAGTACCAATTCATCAAAGAAATAATTTACTAGTTGAACTAAAAAAAAGTTATTATTAAATAAAAATAAAGTCTTGATGTAATTTTACCACAAGTTAATTGCAATTAGTTTAGTGTTAATGTTTTGGTGTTTTTTCAATTGGCTCTTGTAGGGGAATTTTATCTTCATTTATATCAGGTTTAGTTTAGATTGTGTAAAAGTTAAAAGAAAATTTCATTTATTTTTGTAAATAAATAATGATTAGTTTTTGGAGGTCACTTTAAAGGTTTTTCAAGCCAGAAAAGAAGAAAGCGGTTTGAAAAAAATATATATATTATAGTGCCTAGGCGCTTCAGACTTGAAACAGTAATTTTCAAAATACGTGTTTAGTTGGACAATATCTAGTTGGACAATCCTCTTATTTTCTTAGTTCTTTTCATTTTATTTATGCCTTGATTTCTATTTTTTTACATTCTAGCTTAGTTTTGTTAATAAAACTCTTGGGCTGTATAAATTTCTTATTAACATATTATTTCCATTATTGAGTTAACATTATGATTTTGATGTTCGTAATTGCTTGATCACCAATTGAATGATTTTAGATTTAATTTGTGATAAAGAGATGAGAGTATAATTGAACTTTAAATATTTAGTCATAGGTCACATTCATAAGATTATTGTTTAGCTTTTATGAATGTCTCGCACTTCCTATTTTTTCTTTTTTGATAGGCTCCAAAATTTTTAGAGAGGTAGGAATTTGTTTGTCAAACTATTAATTAGCTAATGCTTGAGAAATATTAGTAATAAATTAGAAGAAATTTGCTATCAATATAGGACATAACCAAAATTAATAGAGTGAATGAACTTAAAAGGGATTAGTAAAGTGAAAGTCGGTGATAGTATATTTTATGCACCACATTTCATGATATTCAGGTAGAAATCATTTAACAATTTTCGGCCATTTGTGGCTTATTTACGTGCATAACTGATGTTTTTTATAGGATCAAGCTATTAGAAAGAATTGAAGAATAAGCGATCATTTGAGCGAAACTAGAGCGAAAAAGAGGAGCTTGTTGAAACCACATCAACGCCGCAGCGCCACCATTTAACGCCATGGCGCGCGTACAGGTCAGAATTGGTAGCAAAATCCCGAAGTAGCAGCGCCGCAGCGCTGTACCGTAGCGCCATGGCGCTGTAGCGATGCCCTAACTTAAAGAGAAAGACGAGTGCGCCGTTTGGGGGGATGGAAAAATGGGGAAAAGGATTCTGGAGAGGATCGGCTCGGTTTTGGAGGCAAGAAGGCTGAGGAGATGATTTTCGAGGGCTCGTGATCGTGGAGATTGAGTCGGGGACGGTCGATCGACACTACGGCTTTAGTTTCTCTCCTTTCCCTTATCTTTTCTAGATTTATTATGAAATTCTTTGTAGGATTTTATTGTATTTTCGTGAACATGAGTAGCTAATCTTCTTGTTCTAGGGATTGACGTAGCCGTTGGATTTATGAGTTGGACTTATTAACATTTGTCTCGATTGATTTGTTTTTAATCTATTTATGCATTTATTTGTTTAATGCTTTTAATCTCTTGATCACGGATTAATTGTTGCTAAATCTGAATCTTATGCTCAGGAGAGGTGGTTTAGGTTGGAACCTGAATGCATGACTGGGGTAGTTCTAAGATCGGGAGATTTAGAATTATCTTAAAGGTTGTTAAAAGATTAAGACTTAAGGTCCTGCTTTTGTTAATGAAACTAGATAGGGATATTGGTTTCTTAATAAGTGGGAGAATTAATTGTGCTCGGGAGAGACTTTTATGATTCTTGATTTCTTGACTTATAGATTAATTGCATATTCAATCTCGGCATGCTTAATTTGTCCGCTGGTAAGTTCAATTGGTGAAATCATTTCCCTAGGACCCGTTCTCCATAAGAGTTTTCTTAGAGTATTTTTATTCACTTTGTTATTTTATCTCGTGTGTGTGTCACAAGAAATTCCTGATTGCTTCTCTAGATAAAATTGGACATTAATATCCGTAGTACTCGAGTGACTAGAAATCCAATCCAGTGGACGATATCGGTAATCACTTACCACCTTTATTAAAACTTGACCCGTACACTTGCGGTAAGCAATCTTAGCTACAGTCGGAGTCCTAGCCTTTACTTCATTCATTTTAAATTACTTCTTTTTAGCTTATTCATATATTATTCTCTCTTGATCGATCAATTAGATTAAGGTTAAGTCAGTCGGTAATTACTATTTAATTAACAGTTCTTGTGGAGACGATTCTTTATTTATCACTTTATATTACGATTCGTCCGTACATTTGCAAGATCAAACAACAATCTCTATTATTTAAAAAATTTCAACTTAGATTCTTTATGTATTAACCATTTTTAGTTATACCATTTGTATTGGTAAATGTCATAAGTTACTAATGATAAGTTTGTACGACGTGAGACTGGTAAATTGTCACTTCAACTTAAATGCTAATTGAAACCTAAAATCTAATCCACTCATCAATAAAATCCAGATAATTAACAACGTCTATTAAGAAAAAAAATAAAGTGGTAGGGCTCAAGTGGATGTCCAAGGAATCCAAGTATATTAATAAAAAACAATAATTCAGTAATAGCTTTATGTTAACAAACTTTAAAAATTTTCATCCCTGAAGGACCTAATAATTGAGAACTTCTAATAAATTAACAGTAAAATTGAGAATTTTAAAAAAAATTAAAGACCAAATTGGGAAAAATCATAAAAATTGGAGATAGTGGGCTATATTTAACATATTTTAGCTATTTTTTTAGGTTTCAAGACTTCATTTTGTAATGGTTGGATCTCACTCTAAAACACAAAGCACAGGTTTTTTTAAACTATTTTTTTAGTCCTAAAAAAATTATGTTTTTATTTGACTAAATATTTTTAGTTTAATGTAATTTACTTCAATTATATAACATAAATATTATTTTAATTTTTGAAAGAAATAACATTTAAACAAATATTATTAGATTATTAGGAGAAAGTTTGAAATTTAAAATTATATAAAGAATAAAAAAAGTTTTTAAAATCACTATCCCACCTAGCAAAAAGTTTTGTTATTTATACGATTCCTAGGTTGAAGATTCGATTTTTATCCCAAAAAAGAAAAAAAAATAATAATATACCCTACCCGAAGAAAATGACCATTTTGGACTATTTATTAGATTGGCTTTGTTGGGCTGTAATGGGCCTCCCTAGTGGGCAGGGCAATTATGATGTTTACTGTCGGCTTGTAGTAGCCTGTAGGACATGCGGATTTGGAACTTTTTCCGTTTCTGGGGTTTAATTTCTGGCTGTTTGATTCCGAAGATAAGATGAGACATGAGAGCACAGTACTAGGAACACAATAATAAAATGTTCATCTTTGTTCTTGTCCTTGCCCAACTCCGATGACCATGGTTTCCCATCATCCTTCGCTCCGGCGGATCTCGGATTGCTTTGTGAAACCAGAACGTCTTCCCCAGGAATCGAAGCACCCATATTATTTGAACCATTGGGATCTTCCCATGCTTTCCATGAACTACATCCAGAAAGGGATCCTCTTTCTCAAACCTTCGGAGGCCTATGGCGACCCACACCGCTTCATGCTCACTCTTCTCCGCCGCCTAAAAAACTCCCTCTCCACCGCTCTTTTCCATTTCTACCCACTTATAGGCGGATTCTGTATGGCAAACAATGAGATTGAGGGTAAAGCTTCCATTTTTATTTATGTGGACTGCGTTAACAGCCCCGGAGCAAAGTTCACCCATGCTGCTCTGGACGCCACAATTTCTGACATTCTGTCCCCAAATGACGATGAGCCTTTACTGCTCCAATCTCTGTTTGACCTCAACGGAGCCGTCAACTACGACGCCCAYACCCTGCCTWTRCTSTCCATTCAGGTCACKGAATTGTTGGACGGYATCTTCATCGGTTCCTCCTTCAACCATTCCATTGGCGACGGAACCTCTCACTGGAATTTCATCCGTACCTGGTCTGAGATTTTTAATGACGCTCCAATTTCACGGCCGCCCATTCTGAAGAAGTGGTTTCCGGAAGGGTATGGTCCAATCATCAATCTCCCCTTCACCCACCCGGATCAATTTATCAGCAGAGTCGTAGCACCCCAACAACTTAGGGAAAGAGTGTTCCACTTCTCAAAAGAATCCATCACAAAGCTGAAAGCACAAGCCAACGCAGAGTGCGGCACCAACGAGATCTCGTCCTTCCAAGCGTTGTGCGCGCTTGTATGGAGGTCCATAACACGAGCTCGTCGCGTACCAGAGGATCAAAGCACCATCTGCAAGTTGATTGCCAATAACAGAGGAAGACTAGAGCCGCCCTTGTGTGAAGACCACTTCGGCAACGTAGTGACGGCAGTGAAAGCAGAGGCAAAATCAGGGGAATTGGTGGAAGCAGGGGTTGGTTGGGGGGCTTGGAAATTGCACGAAGCTGTGGTGGACAACAGGTACGAGAAGTTAAGAGAGGCAGTTGAAAAATGGCTGCAATCTCCCTCTTTACATCGATCAGGTGAAATGGTTGATCCGTACACCGTGGTGATGGCGAGCTCCCCAAGATTCAAGATATATGAGAATGAATTTGGAATGGGAAAAGCGGTGGGGGTTCGGAGTGGACAAGAAAACAAGTTCGATGGGAAGGTGAGTTCATATCCAGGATCTGAGGGAGGAGGAAGCATAGATTTAGAGATCGCCCTGTTGCCGCAAAATATGGCTAATTTGGAGTCCGATTCCGAGTTTATGGCTGCTATATGTTAAGCATATCTCTAGATTCCCTATACTATATATATTCCTAAGAAAATAATGAAGAAATTATGGCTACGGGTATTTGTTCAGTTTCTTAAACCTTTCATAGTATCAAAACAGGTTGAATGATGTGGACTCCAATTTTGTTCCATTTTTAAAAATAAATTTCCCCATATTGTTGATAAGGACTTGCGAACTAAGCAGCTCCTGTTTGAAGATCACATTATTTCTATGCGTCCCACAAACAAATCATAAACACCTCTAGCTCTGATCCAAATCTCAGTAATCCTAAATTTTCTAGCTTCTCTAGTTAAATACAAAAATAAAAAATAAAAAATGACCAAATCAAGATTTAAGAAAATATTTCTAAACGGTTTTGTTACCTTGTATTCCCAAAACAAATGGGTGGTTAATTCTTTATCATTCCTGAACACAACATAAGTCGGTAAAAATTCCTTTCTTACAAAGATTATTTTTTTGGTAGCAATAACGTTCTTCACAAACTTCCAGCACTTACTCTCCACAACGATTGCTTTAAACAATTGTGCCAAAACATCAACTTTAATAACTTTTATCAATGTTTACCAAGTGTATTGTTATAATTTTTATCCTCTAATATATTACCATCTCTTTATCTCTTTACTATATTGTTCAAATAAATGTCAAAGTGAATTAAAAACATGTCAAATCGAGCATAGTTCAATGATAATTGACATATATTTCAAACCAAGAGATTGTGAGTTCGATTCGTCATTCTTATTACATGTATTAAGAAAAATAATAAATAACATAAATTTGGAATAGGGATGGTTGAATACTCAATGAAAAAATATTTAGGTCTAGTATTCATGAATCTTTGAATGATTTATCTTTTATCTATTTTAGTTTATATAGTTTGAGGTTCGATATTTGTTTAGCTTTTCCTTTCTAATCAATTGAGTGTGATTGTGATAGGTCATGTTGTTTCTCCAATCATGTGTCCTTTTACTATTTTTACCTTTATTGATGTTATAACACGTTTTGCACGTGGTTCGAATTTTTATTATACAAATTTTTGGTAGCCGGTTAGTCAGGTTTTTGTTCTTCATTTTCTAGTTTTTTCTCTTAATATTTTTTGTAACTACCTTTTTTCATGTTTTTGAAAAAAAAAATATTAAAAAACTATTTTTTGTTTCTTATTTTATATAGTTGAAATTAAATTGGATATATATATATATATATATATATATATATTTTTTCTTGTTTTAATACAATGATCAGATATGATATAAACAAAAGTAAAATATATTTTTGATTCCTAAATTTGAAGATAGATTTCTATTTATAATTTGGTATCCAAACTGTAGAAAAAAACTCTAAAAGAGAGTTGGAATCAAACTTCCGTGAGCTAATGAAATACTCAGGTGGCATTGTAAGGTGTATATTTTTTCTCCTTGAAAAAATTTTCCAAGTATATTCAGAATTCACCGGCTACTCTGAATCCAAAATCATCTTATAATTTAGCTTCAACCGTGCCTCACGGCTACTCTGAATCCCCATGATGAGAAGAGCATTGTCACAGAATTCACCGGTCTGGTAAAAAATTGACTTCTACTAACACTAAATCTCCGACGGGGAGTTTCTGTTAAATTGGAGCCAACATCTGAAAATCATGGCCTGCCACTAGAGCCCTCCATATTTGTCTGCATGCAAAACTCTTCAATTAAGGCGCAAAATATAACGATAGTTTTATGTTAATAAACTTTAAAAACTTTCTTCACTGAAGTACCCAATTGAGAACTAGTAATACATTAAGGTTAAAATTGAGAATTTTATAAGCTTAAAAGACCAAATTGTGCAAAATCATAAAAGTTGAGACAATGGGCTATATTTGACATATTTTAGACTATTGTTTTTTTAGGTTTCAAGACTTTATTTATAATCGTTGGATCTCATTCTAAACCACAAAACACAGGTTCTTTTAAACTTTTTTTTATTCCTAAAAAAAATTTATTTGATTAAATAGTTTTAGTTCAATGTACTTTTATTTAATTATATAGCATAAATATTATTTTAATTTTAAGATATAAACAAATATTATTAGATTATTAGGAGTAACTTTAAGATTTTAAAATTATACAAAGGATAAAAGAGTGAAAAAATAATAATAAAAATTGTCACTATCCACCCAAGCGAAGTTTATTTTTAAGTCCTTTTAAGGTAAACTTGAGTAATAGCTATACAATTCCCAACTAAAAAAGTTGAGCATTTTGGACTTCTTATTAAATTGGCTTTGTTGGGCTGTAATGGGCCCAGTAATTAATTATGATATTTGTGGTCTGGGCTTGTTGTAGCCTGTAGGGCCTACGGCATGCTGACTAAAAACTGTTTCTTTGTTGGTGTTTAATTTCAGGCTGTTTGATTCCGAAGATAAAGATGATACGAGAAAGGCGAGTAGGCGAGTAGGCGAGTAGTAGTACCTTTCAGTTGAACACACAATAAAAACCTCCCCTCGCCCTTGCCCAACTCCGACTCCGACGACGATGCTTCCCCATCATCCTTCTCTCCGGCGGATCTCCGACTGCTTTGTCAAACCAGATTGCCTTCCCCAAGAATCCAAGCAGCCCTATTATTTGAACCTTTGGGATCTCACCATGCTTTCCGTAAATTACATCCAGAAAGGGCTCCTCTTTCTCAAACCTTCTGAGGCCTACGGCGACCCACACAATTTCATGCTCACTCTTCTCCACCGCCTCAAAAATTCCCTTTCCACCGCTCTCTTCCATTTCTACCCACTTACAGGCCGATTTTGTACGGCCAACAATCACATTGATGGCCAAGCTTCCATTTTTATTTATGTGGACTGCATTAACAGCCCCGGAGCAAAGTTCACCCACGCTGCTCTGGACGCCACAATTTCTGACATTCTGTCCCCAAATGACGATGAGCCTTTACTGCTCCAATCTCTGTTTGACCTCAACGGAGCCGTCAACTACGACGCCCATACCCTGCCTATACTCTCCATTCAGGTCACTGAATTGTTGGACGGCATCTTCATTGGTTCCTCCCTAAACCATTCCATTGGCGACGGAACCTCTCACTGGAATTTCTTCCGTACTTGGTCTGAGATTTTTAATGACGTTCCAATTTCACGGGCGCCCATTCTGAAGCAGTGGTTCCCGAAAGGGTATGGTCCAATCATCAATCTCCCCTTCACCCACCCGGATCAATTTATCAGCAGATCCGTTTCCGTAGCACCCCAAAAACTTAGGGAGAGGGTGTTCCACTTCTCAAAAGAATCCATCGCAAAGCTGAAAGCAAGAGCCAACGCAGAGTGCGGCACCAATGAGATCTCGTCCTTCCAGGCGTTGTGCGCACTTGTATGGAGGTCCATAACACGTGCTCGTAGCGTAGCAGAGGATCAAAGCAGTAGCTGCAAGTTGTTTGCCAATAACAGAGGAAGACTAGAGCCCCCCTTGTGTGAAGACCACTTCGGCAACATAGTGACAGCAGTGAAAGCAGAGGCAAAAGCAGGGGAGTTGGTGGAAGCAGGGGTTGGTTGGGGAGCGTGGAAATTGCACGAAGCTGTGGTGGACAATAAGTACGAGAAGTTGAGAGAGGAAGTTGAAAAATGGTTGCAGTCTCCTTCTTTTCATCGATTTGGGGAAGGAATGGATCCCTACGCCGTGGTGATCACGAGCTCCCCGAGATTCAAGATATATGAGAATGAATTTGGAATGGGAAAAGCGATGGGGGTTCGGAGTGGATGTGGAAACAAGTTTGATGGGAAAGCGACTTCGTATCCAGGACGTGATGGAGGAGGAAGCGTAGATTTAGAGATCACTCTGTTGCCGAAAAATATGGCCAATTTGGAGTCGAATACGGAGTTCATGGCTTCTGTCTCTTACTCTTCCCCACCTCATCTGCACCACCATTGTTAGAGGTGGAATGCTGTGCAGTCTCCACTGCCTCCAAATCTTTAGATCAAGCCAAACCATCAACTTTAACAACTTCTAATAACTCTGAGGGGGTTTGGTTTGCGACGCGTGTTTATTAAGTATGAGTTCTTTTCTAAGTCCGTATTTAGTTGTGCAAATATCATGTTTGTTAAGTTTGGATTTATTAAACCTTTATTTGGTTGACAAAAAAAGTCAACTGTGAGTATGCTAAACCTTTGTTTGGATCATTTTGTTAAACCTAAGTTTATTAAAATTGTATTTATTGGTAGATTTGGAATTTATAATAAATAATAACTATGTATTACCTTTTGTTTGCTTAATTTTTTTAGGAATTATTTTATACAAATTTAATAGGACATGTAATTTACCACTAAGTGTTATCAATGATTTATTTAATTATTTGTTCATTTCTTGTTATGCTAACTAAATTTATTTACTAATTACTATTAAAATTTTCATTAAAATTAAATTGTTCTTTTCTTTCTCAATTTTTACTTAGTGATTAAAAAATTAACACATGTTAAATAATAATTATTTAAAAATTATTAACTTCGACACAAATTAATCAAAATAGTTAAATTTCATTCTTGTTATAAAACACATTTCTTTAAATAATTATGCTAATATGACTTTTACATTGCATTAATGAAAAGAGTTTAAAACTATAGATTTAGAAAAATAAATCTGTTAGACTATACGATGTAGATTGAATTTTGAATTTAAAATGAAATAGTTTAAATTATTTATATATGTATGTGATTAAAAATATAATAATATTTATTTAGTAACTGATACTATTTTTTTCTATATGAAATAAATATTTAATTAGTTTTGTTATTACTTTTTTCTTAAATATTTTTTGAAGTGTGTACATAAATTATTGCATATAAATTTATTATTATAATTGTTATAAAACATGAAGTTTATAATGAATATAAATAAAATTGTTAGGTTGGTTTTTATCAAAGTTGATATATTAAGAAAATTGAACTTTATGGTTCCAACCAATCCAATTAACTTGATTTGGCTAATTTCTTCGTTTTTTAATTTTAACTTTCACTAATAAAAAGTTTATGATTAAAAATTTGTCGATATATGAATTAATGAATTATTACTTATAATCTTAATTAAATTCATTTACTTATTTATTATTAAAATTATGATTAATTAATTTCTTATTTAACTCATATTTTTATTAAATTAGTGCATTTTAAAAGCAAAATTACAAAAAAAAAAATATATACACCGTATCAATTATAACGAGTAAGAATAAAATATTGTAGCAAACTGGGGTAGAATAATATTTATCGTAGCAACATGGGGATAGAATAATAGTTACTATAGTAAACGAGTTTATAAAATTGTGAAACCAACGTAGGTTTGACTTAGTTAACCTTACTCCTCGTTTTGAAAGCATATAATAAAACACCCCCTATCAATAGATTCGTAAGAAGAGAAAAAAGTGAAATAATAATGACAATAAGAAAAGAAAGTGAATATGTCAAATGTAAACTTAACAGAGTTCAATTTGTTGAGATATATATCCCGACTAAAATACCTATGTTATACCAAAAAAAAAAAGTTAAACAACAACAAAAAGAAAAATGAAGAAATTTAATTTGAAGGGAGAAAATTAAGAAAATGAAAATTGAGAACCGGAGAATTAAGTGAAGATGCAGGGAGAAATAAATTTAAAAATAAAAAAATAGGATAAAAAATATACCATCGAACAATAAAGGAAAAAGTAAGATACGGTGGATTAATTTTACTTGTATATAGCGTACATAGAAGATGTATATATTTTATTTATATAATAATAAAGTTACTTTATAACATACTTTAAATAGAAAACCTACGCAAGAGGAATGGGACTATAAATTTCTATTCTCCGCCTCTTTGGATTGGCCATTAAGTACAGCCACATTTGGCAACAGCTTCCATTTCCAATTCCATTTTATCAAATCTCTTACATTCAAACGTGGCTCAAGCTTGACCTATGATTTCTCAACATTACACTCCACAACAATAATTTCAAAATTAAACGCTTTATAACGATTAAGTTTATAAATTTTTGTTGTTTATAAATTATGTTTACTTTTTCCTAATTTTTATGCTATATTTTTTACTTTTTAAAATTATATTTAGATTTTTATCTAAATGAAAAAATTAAATATAAACTTTTAGTAATTATTTTTAGTTTTTCAAATTTCATATAGATTTTGAAAGGTTAAAAAAAACAACATAAAAAAATCATAGGTGAAAGTAATATTTTTAATTTAAAATTAAATAATACAATAGTTACCAAACAACGTGTTTAACCTCAACGGAGCCGTCAACTGTGATCGGAAATTTCCGATAAATTGGAGCCAACATCTGARAATCGCAGCGAGAGGATTGCAATCTCTCAACGAATCCATGGCTCTGTTGTCCACCGCTGCGTAAAGCCCTCAAATATACTAATTGACTCTCATTTCTCTGCAAAAATTCTCCAATTACGGCTTCAAATTTAATGATAATTCTATGTTAATAAACTTTAGAAAATTTCTTCACCGGACTTAATTGAGAACCACTAATATATTACTGAGAATTTTAAAAGATTAAAACCAAATTAGAAAAATCATATAAATCGGAGGCAATGAATGGGCTATATTTAACCTATTTTAGATTATTTTTTAGGTTTCAAGACTTTATTTTATAATGGTAATCTATAAGAAGACAGGTTTTTCAAACTTTTTTTTTCCCGAAAAAGAATAAACTATTTTTATTTGATTAAATATATTTAGTTTAATGTAATTTATTTTAATTATATAACATAAAACTTATTTCTTTTAAAAAAAATAAATATTACTTAAACAAATATTATTAGATTATTAGGAGTAAGTTTGAAAATTTAAAATTACATATAGGATAAAAAAAAGTTTTTAAAAAATAATTGTCACTATCCCACCTAGCGAAAAGTTTTGTTATTCAGTCATTTAAGGTAAAGTTGAGTAATAGTTAAAACATTTATAAAATTCATAAGTATAAGATTGGATTTTTGTAATCTACCTGAAAAAATCAACCATTTATTAGGGGTGGGTTTGTTGAGCTGTAATGGGCCCTCTATTGGGACTGGTAGAGTGGTAATTATGATATCGATGGTTTGGCTTGTTGTGGCCGGTACTCGTAGGGCATGCGGACTGAAACATTTTTGTTATGTTTCAGGTTGTTTGATTCCATAGATAAGATGAGACGTGAGAGCAGAGTACTAGTACCAGAAAAAGTTGACAACTCCGACGACGATGGTGCTCCGTCATCCTTCGCTCCGGCGCATCTCCGATTGCTTTGTCAAACCAGAATGTCTTCCCCAGGAATCGAAGCAGCCATATTATTTGAACCCTTGGGATCTCACCATGCTCTCTCTCCACTACATCCAGAAAGGTCTTTTCTTTACCAAATCCACTGAGGCCTACGCCGACCCACACAGTTTCATGCTCACTCTTCTCCACCGCCTCAGAAACTCCCTCTCCACCGCTCTCTTCCATTTTTACCCACTTGCAGGCAGATTATGTACGGCCAACAATCACATTGAGGGTCAAGCTTCCACTTTTATTTATGTGGACTGCGTTAACAGCCCCGGACACCCACGCTGCTCTGGACGCCACGATTTCTGACATTCTGTCCCCAAATGGTGAGCCTTTACTGCTCCAATCTCTGTTTGACCTCAACGGAGCCGTCAACTACGACGCCCACACCCTGCCTTTACTCTCCATTCAGGTCACTGAATTGTTGGACGGTATCTTCATCGGTTCCTCCTTCAACCATTCCATTGGCGACGGAACCTCTCACTGGAATTTCTTCCGTGCCTGGTCTGAGAGTTTTAACGACGTTCCAATTTCACGGCCGCCCATTCTGAAGCAGTGGTTTCCGGAAGGGTATGGTCCAATCATCAATCTCCCCTTCACCCACCTGGATCAATTTATCAGTCGATGCGTAACACCCCAACAACTTTGGGAGAGAGTGTTCCACTTCTCAGAAGAATCTATCGCAAAGCTGAAAGCACGAGCCAACGCAGAGTGTGGCACCAGCGAAATCTCGTCCTTCCAGGCGTTGTGCGCGCTTGTATGGAGGTCCATAACACGTGCTCGTGGCGTACCGGTGGATCAAAGCACCAGCTGCAAGTTGATGGCCAATAACAGAGGAAGACTAGAGCCGCCCTTGTGTGAAGACCACTTCGGCAACGTAGTGACAGCAGTGAAAGCAGAGGCAAAAGCACGAGAATTGGTGGAAGCAGGGGTTGGTTGGGGGGCGTGGAAATTGCACGAAGCTGTGGTGGACAACAGATACGAGAAGTTGAGAGAGGCAGTTGAAAAATGGTTGCAGTCTCCCTCTTTTCATCGATTAGGAGAATTGGTTGATCCGTACACCGTGGTGATGGCGAGCTCTCCAAGATTCAAGATATATGAGAATGAATTTGGAATGGGAAAAGCGGTGGGAGTTCGGAGTGGATGTGGAAACAAGTTTGATGGGAAAGTGACTTCGTATCCAGGGTGTGAGGGAGGAGGAAGCGTAGATCTAGAGATCACCCTGTTGCCGCAAAATATGGTTAATTTGGAGTCCGATTTCGAGTTCATGGCTGCTGTCTCTTACTCTTCTCCACCTCATGTTCACTAGAACTAATCGTATTTTTAAGATCACCACCTCCGATCTTTTACTCGAGCCAAAACATCAACAAATTAGGCAGAGTTGAATACTTGATATGGAAAAATACTTAGTTGTACGTGCTAACTATCCTAAGTATCCCACGTATCTCTAGTATGGTATTTTCTACTTTGAGCATAACGTTCATGACTTTGTTTTTGGTTCTATCTAAAATGTCTCATTCGATAATTGTCCTATTTTATATGTCTATGGTCATTTTCTTCCTTAACTAATATAGGATTTTATTTGCGGTACTCTCCTCACAAATCCAACACTAAGTTCCAACTAACGATGACCTATCTTGTATGGGTGTAACGAATCAACACGACTCAAAAAATTGACTCGACCCAAACAACTATCGTGTCAGGTTGATTCGATTTTAAGATTTGTTGATTTAGTTTGATTTGCCTTGAACAACCGAACATTTTTTATAAATGTGAAGCCCTACTCTTTTTCTTTATCTTCTCCATCTTGCTCTCTGTTAACAAGCGTATCTACCAATGAAACGAAACTCTAATACGTGGTAACGATTTGAATGGCAACATGTGATGGAACTCTGTTGTGGAACTCCTCTCAGACTCTCTCTAGCATGAACGGAGCCCAGTGACGGTGACTCCAACTAGTGGCAGGTCCGAAATTTTAGGTTGGTGGCACAAATGTATATAAATGTAATGAAAAAAATATCAATTTTAAATTTAGACTTAGCAATGTGTATCCTAAATTTGTAAGTTTCTACCAGAATTATTTAATCATAAATTTTTTTTTATTACTCAAACTTAATTTAAGAATTTTGATTTTGATTGAATTAATGAGTTTTGTGGATTTTTCTCTCAAATAAAGTGATAAAAGTTATGACATTTACGAATTAAAATTTATTAAAAAATGTTCGGTGATAAAATTTGATTAGACATTTTTAATAATGTAAGAGGGCATGTGCCCCTCGTCTCAATATGGACCCCACCTTGACTCTAACGATGACCTTCATCCAGCGTGAATCAAGAAGACGAAGACGCGTGGCCGACACCACTCTATAGCGTATGAAAAGAAAGAAGAAGAAAATTCAGGTATCGCAAATGAACGATAAGAAATTTGGTATGTTATGTTAAATTCCTTACATTTTTAAATTAATCATTTTTTATAAAGTTTGATTATTTGATTTTAAATATACATTTTGCTTTTGTCATTTTGAGTAATTTTTTTAGTACAACAAGTGGGGTGGAGATTCGAGACCTATTGGTCAGAGATATATGACAATTACTGCTGAGCTAAGTTCAAGTTGGCGAGTAAAAAATATTGTTGAACTTTAGGTTTAGTTGGAATTTTTGTTTTAAATCAATGACTAACTAAGAAAATATAATCGGAAATTTCAAATAAGTTCATCACATATTTTTTAATATATGTAAATTTACTATTCATGTTTTATTATTTGATTCTCCATCTCTTTGGATTTGGTATTATAGCAACCATCTTTCGTATATGTAGGTTAAGTACAGCCACAACTGACAATAACTTCTACTTAGAATGTCCTTTTATCACATCTCTTACATTGAAATGTGGTTTGAAAATTAAGGATTATTACACTCCAGAACAATCATTTAAACGATTTTGTTTATAAATATTTGTTCTCTAGAAAATATGTGTTATTTCTCCTCATTTATATGTTATATTTCTAACTTTCTAAAAAAATATATTAAATATAAATTTGTAATAATTATTTTTTTATTTTTAAAATTTGAATAGATTTTGGAAGGTTTTAAAAAAGATAATAACAACGTAACATAAAATTTATATATATATATAGAGACACATAAATATACATAGTAATATCTTTAAATTTAAAAATGAATAATATGATAGGTATCATTTATCAAACAGGATCTTTAGCAATCATATGTGAAACCAATAATTGGCCACCGCATTAGATCTTGATCCGTGTCTTATATATTTCGCTCGAAATTACCAAGTATTAAACACTCTTGGTTTATGTAGAGTTGACAACTGGATAATAAGGTAGTTGAAAAAAAAAAATACTAGAATAGTCTTGAATCTAATTATAAAAGCAGGGCGATAAACTGCAGAAGTTAAATAAACCGCGCCAAATCCCGCTCAAAAATCGCACGCGGTAGATACGATTTTACTAATTTCACGCCCTTCAGACGCGATTCTTATGCTGATAAACTTTCTTTTTCGTGTCTCCTACCTTCCCTTCCAAAAAGTCCCTTTCCCATCTCTCACTTTTTCTCCAAACAAAAAAGATTCACCATTTTGGACATTAGATTAGCTCTGTTGGGCTGTAATGGGCCTCTCTATTGGGCCTGGCAATTATGATATTTATGGTCGGCTTGTGGTACGCCGTAGGGCATGCGGATTGAAACTTTTTCTTTTTCTTGTTTAATTTCATGCCGCCGGCTGTTCACTTCCCAAGATTCAATTAGACATGCTGGATCAGGACGACGACAGGTGAGCAAAAAGATTTCGAAAAATCGACCAACGACCAAAATCAATCGGACCGCGTTGGTCGGCCGATCTGATAAATAATTCAGTTGCATACAAAATCGACTCGGTTTTCCTTTTAATCTGATTTAGACTCGAACGATCTTGAAAATTTTATTTAAAATAATTGCAGACTGGATTCTGCAGAAAATGTAATGCAGACTGCAGCTGCTTCAAAACCAACGGTGGCCGCTGGTTTTTCAAGCCTGCATGGCCTTTTCTTTCTCCTTTTTTTTCCTTCTAATTTTTCTGCCACGCATGTCCACATCATTATTTAATTTCTTTCTTCTCTTTTCTTTTTTATCCTCAAGAGTTTTCGTTCTTATGTTGTTTTCTGTCGCCGTATGTCTTCCTTTCGCAGTTTCAGCTCTCCCTCTCTCGTCTCTCTACCTCTCTTCTTATGTTGGGCAAGGGCTCACTTACTCTCAGATGACAGAGTAAGTAGTTTCTCCGTGTTTTTTCTTGTCCTTGTCCTTGCCCAATTCCGACGACGATGGTTTCCCATCATCCTTCGCTCCGGCGAATCTCCGAGTGCTTTGTCAAACCAGAGTGTCTTCCCCAAGAATCGAAGCAGCCTTACTATTTGAACCCTTGGGATCTCACCATGCTTTCCGTCCACTACATCCAAAAAGGTCTTCTCTTTTCCAAACCCTCTGAGGCCTACGCCGACCCACACAATTTCATGCTCACTCTTCTCCACCGCCTCAAAAACTCCCTCTCCACCGCTCTCTTCCATTTCTACCCACTTACCGGCAGATTATGTACGGCCAACAATCAGATTGAGGTTCAAGCTTCCATTTTTATTTATGTGGACTGCGTTAACAGCCCCGGAGCAAAGTTCACCCACGCTGCTCTCGACGCTACAATTTCTGACATTCTGTCCCCAAATGGCGAGCCTTTACTGCTCCAATCTCTGTTTGACCTCAACGGAGCCGTCAACTACGATGCCCATACCCTGCCTTTACTCTCCATACAGGTCACTGAATTGTTGGACGGCATCTTCCTCGGTTCCTCCTTCAACCATTCTTTAGGCGACGGAACCTCTCACTGGAATTTCTTCCGTACCTGGTCTGAGATTTTTAATGACGTTCCAATTTCACGGCCGCCCATTCTGAAGCAGTGGTTCCCGGAAGGGTATGGTCCAATCCTCAATCTCCCCTTCACCCACCCGGATCAATTTATCAGCAGATTCGTAGCACCCCAACAACTTAGGGAGAGAGCGTTCCACTTCTCAAAAGAATCCATAGCGAAACTGAAAGCACGAGCCAATGCAGAGTGTAGCACCAAGGAGATCTCGTCGTTTCAGGCATTGTGCGCGCTTGTGTGGAAGTCCATAACCCGAGCTCGTTGCGCACCAGAGGATCAAAGCACCAACTGCAAGTTGATGGCCAATAACAGAGGAAGACTAGAGCCACCCCTGTGTGAAGACTACTTTGGCAACGTAGTGACAGTACTGAAAGCAGAGGCAAAAGCAGGGGAATTGATTGAAGCAGGAGTTGGTTGGGGAGCATGGAAATTGCACGAAGCCGTGGTGGACAACAGGTACGAGAAGTTGAGAGAGGAAGTTGAAAAATGGTTGCAGTCTCCCTCTTTTCATCGATTAGAGGAAAGAATTGATCCCTACACGGTGGTGATGACGAGCTCTCCAAGATTCAAGATATATGAGAATGAATTTGGAATGGGAAAAGCGGTGGGAGTTCGGAGTGGATGTGGAAACAAGTTTGATGGGAAGGTGAGTTCGTATCCAGGATGTGAGGGAGAAGGAAGCGTAGATTTAGAAATCGCCCTGTTGCCGCAAAATATGGCTAATTTGGAGTCTGATTCCGAGTTCATGGCTGCTGTCTCTTCCCCATCTCATCTGGGCCATGAGTGAAGGTATTTTAAAGGTCTAAGGTTAGAGGTTGAATCAGGAATGGTTTCATTTCAAAACCTCACCCGAAATTCTCTCCACCATGGATCACGCACGATCTCTCAGTGACCATGGCCTATCCATTTTTACTTCAACATGTTTTCATTTGAAACATTTTGAAAATAAAAAATTATCGTGTTCTTTAAATGAATTTGTATAGGAATGGTGGTTAAGAAATCTATTATTCATCGAAAGATAACTTATTAAATCTTTAAAACGGTTTTGAAAGGTGATCTTAACAATTATGTTCCAAAATAATAGAATAGGCCATTGAATGTGGTATATGATACTGCAAAGGAAAACATCGAGGCTACGGAGCGCCACAGCGTTGAGGTTGGCACAGGAGTGAGAATTTGGATTTTTAAGTAGGTGATATATATTTTTACATAGATTGGCCCAAGGTTATATGTGAAAAAAGATGCTACTTTTATAAATTTTATCTTACTAACACATGAATTTTTTAAAAACATATGATCAAAAAACTATCAATTTGAATTAGATTTTAAGATAAGATCTGAATTGAAAAATATACATCTTAAAATTTTAAAACATATTTAAGATACTATTTCTTACTATTATCTTTTTCTTTTTCCTCTGTTCCGTTTTTTTTTTCTTTTCCGAGGAAGCCATCTATGTTATCCATAGTCCATAGATGTAACATTTTCATTTTAACTATGGAATTTTAAAACAGACTTAGATATGAAATTTCATTGATAACAATAATCTTCCGTTGTGTCACATTTACCTACTTTCTTATCTTACTGCTGTTCGATCCGTGTTGCATTGTAAACTTGTTCGTTTGATGTTGGTTCATGTCATGTTTGTTGGCTAATTTTGATGGCAATTTGTGTTAGGCAGATTTTCTATTCATAATGTAAATATAAAGAAAATTTTGCACCTAGTGACTCATCTAGATCCAACTATAAGAATGGGCCAAAACAGGAGATTTGTGTCCCACAAGAACGCTACTAGATTCTGATATTGCTTCATACCAATATTAAGATACTGATTGCTATAAATATAATTTTTTTGGTTTAAGTTTCATCGTAATTTTCTCAAACACATGGAAATAGTCTATACTTTTTTTTTCCAACAGGTAACCCACTTCATAAAAAGGAAAAAAGACCCAATTAGGGCAATGAGATGGCATAGTCTACACAGAAGTATTGACCTAGGAGTGCTCAATTTGGACTAATTGTGCCCAGCTGGATGACTTCAAGTATCTTGAAGAAGTGGAGCTTGTTCCCACGTAGTTTTAACGTCTTTTGTTTGTGTTTACAGCTGTCCTTTCTGGAAAAAAAAAACGTGTTTGTAAATGGAACTGGAAGTGGAATTGGATGATAAGTACAAAATGCATCAGCATCATCTAAATCCTAAATTAATTGCTCCTCGTCTTGCGGACCTTAGCGATGAATTCCGATGATGTTACAGTCCGAGAAATCTCCCACTGTTTTGTGAAACCAGATCTTCCCGAAGAATCAAAGAGTCCCTATTATTTGGGCCCTTGGGATCTCTCCATGCTCTCCTTCCACTACATCCAAAAAGGTCTCCTCTTTCGCAAACCTTCTCAGGCCGACGGTTTTATGCCTAATCTACT